TTGCAAAATACACCTGGCATGAAGTCCTTTGTTTCCAGCAAGCGAGCACTAACTGATGCTGTACCAGAGTCTCTCAAAACTGCTTTGTAAACACTTCTACCCTTCCTGCCTTAAGGGACCAGTTATATTGGCTGATTTGCTGGCTGCACTGCAGATGACAGACTGTGCTGCTTACCATCCTGAACGGGTTTTCAAAGGACTCCATAATGCGCCGAGCCTTTTGCTGCGCAACCGTTAAATTCTTCTCAGTCCCTCCTTCTTCCCCATCAGGTTCCTACAAGCAGGCAGAAAAAACAGCTTATAAAACAGTTAAACAGTCACCTGCAACTTTTCTGTAGAACCCTCTTACCAAGCACTGGAATAGTTGGTGAAGGCAGACTGGATTTAGGACATCCTCTCTGAGGTTTTGTTTGGGAGCAGGGTGGAGACAAGGAATTTGAGGTGCTACCGACAGAAATTTACCTCAAGCCCTGATGGGCTCACATAGTCCCAGTTTCTGAAGGGCAGTGTATTCTCTTGCTTTGTGCACCAGTCACACATCTATCGCTGGCTTCAGTCTGAGGAATTTTTGGTTACTTAGGAGCTTACTATATCTTTTTCTACTCCATTTGACATCCTTATGAGGGCAGTGACCCTTGGACTGTAAGAATAGCTAACTTCCTACCTGGCCTCCTGCCTGCTCTACTTGGTTTTGATGTATCCTTACAAACTGCCTGCATTTTGCATAACATTATTAGACTACCATAACAAATTAGCAAATCTTTGTGTTCTCCTACTTCAGCGCAGACCCCTTCGTACTACTGGAACTTACATTGAAGATGTTGATGGTGGCTGTAGCAACAAGGCATGTGGAATCTGGCAACGTTCCTTCGCTATCTGTCTCTTCCCCGTCTGAAAAGAGACTCCCACACTTCAGAGCTGGGGCAGGTGCTGCAAAGAAAGGAAAATTAAGAGCTTAGCTTTTTGGAACATTCTTTTCTACTGCACTTTTGTGCTCTGAAGCCCGTCTGTCAACACTATGCTTAACGTGTCAGATGACTCTTAATGAATCCATGTTTCTTCCTACTTAGCACAAGTTAAAAGTTGTCTCCAGATTTACCTAATGACAAGTGGTTCTGGGGATCGTCCAGGGTAATGTGGGAACTGTCATGAGGTCCAAATAAGTGATTTTCTGGCTTCTACAAAAAAATTCAAGTATGACACAGGTGATCGGTACAACATAATAGGTGTTTTTACACAGAAAACAGCAACAAACTAATCACAATCTAAATTTATGGATGATAAATAAGGCTAGGTATTCCTAACACACAGCTCAGCTGCTAGTGCACATAGCTTGTACCAGAAGGATGCGTCTCTGGGTTAGCAAGAATACTGTACTTCAGACATGACTGTTGCAGAAACTCAGCTAGAAATTCCATTCTTAATGTCAGTCATCATAAATAGCCACAAAACGCCATCCAACAGCTGCACCATTCACTGATGGAAGACTTTCGTATCATCCCTCTTGAAGGTTTTAAAACACTGATTTACAACTGACAGGTTTACAGGCATTTGAGGGAAAAACTGGGCTGAAAAGAAGAGATCAATAATCCGGAAGACTGCTTGCAGATATAAAGCAACACTCACCCAACAGTGCTTTACTTTAAAAACTTGGTGCACGCTTGTGCCAAGCCCAGCACATGCCCAGAAGAGGCAGTGCATTAGTTGGACCTGGCTTGACCAATGCCTGTATAGACAGGGTGCTTTGGTTGCATTTTGGTGCTTTTTACTTAGTAGCCGACTGAATTTGCTTTAGATAAAAGCGCTGAGAAACCCCGCTGGAGCACCCAATCTATACAGATACTGCAGACCCGGGTCGAACTAATGTGCTGCTTCCTTTGGTAAAGTGCGTCCTCCCAACCACGTCTGTCCGCACCAGAAATGACCATATCACAGGGTCTGTGGTCGGCAAGCCATCTTGCTGATTGATTTGCGCTATTTTGCCCGACTGATGTTTCAGCAATCACATCTTCTGCTGTGGCAGTTTAAATAGTTGTTGAATACACAGTACCTCTGGATTGGAGAGAGGTCCCTTCTTTGTCACCGAAGCTGCTTCAGACTTAGAGGAGAGAAGAAAATAAGAAAATTACTAAACGTTCACAGTAGAGCACCTAGATTCCGTAGACACAAGCTTCCTTTAACCAGTATTTTCAGCACTTTTGGTAGGATGACAGCTTCATAGTGTTTTTGTGAGGGGTTTCTCTACCCAAGGGCAGGTGAAATTAAACCTTCATCTAGCCAGGTTGTGCTCTAGCTTGTAACTACTTCCACTTCACCGCACAAGGGTATACTTTGCATAGCAGAGCATGTCGGCCGATATGAAAACCTTACATAGAGCAACGAGGCCAGGTGCACACAACTACCTTCACACACTGCATGGGATTGACCCTGGTGGTCTCTTATGTATGCCCAACCAGTTCTGTAGGTTTAAATAACTTGTGTTGGTTAACAGGCAAAATAGTAGAGTCAAAAACCCCAGAGATGCCTATGTCCTGCTTCACAGTGGGTATTTTTACCCTCTTACTCCTCTAGTTCCCAGAGGGTCTAGTACTAGTGCCTGATTTCCCTTCTTGCAGTGGAAATACTGCTCCAGGAAGTGATCTGCTTACACAATGGATCTGGTACTATGCAGCATTCACACTGAGGTTTTGGCTCATTCCACATGCAGCCAAATCCAGCAGCAGCTTTACACATACAGACTTTTACTAGGTTTCCAGTACCTACAAGATCATTAGGATTCTTTAGAAAGCAAGGGCAAGAATGTGACTGAAACATTCACACCCACTAAACCCTGCTATGTGTTGGTAAAAGGTCCCCCTACCTTGAGCAGAGGCATCTCTCGGGCTTGTTGGATAAGGAGATGCAGTTCATTGATCTGTTGGCGAACTACAGGCGGGACTGGGTTGCAGCAAGCAATGATGCCCTGGGGTTCTCTAAAGACAGAAAGACACTGCTATATTCTCAGCTGATAAATCAAACATCCATGTATAAATGAATGTCAGTCAGATGTAACTGCAGGCCTCAGTGCCACAGAAGGCAATTTAGCTGAGTAAGATGCTGTGTATCCAGCGTACCCCACATTCTTCAAAATCAGGGTGGTGCAGGCAAGGAGAATCCATTAGTTGGCCCCACCACCCTCCCCATTGGTGGGAACTGGTGTCTGCCTGCATATAGCCTTCATAAATGCATTCTTCCCCACACTCCCTCTATACAAAGGGGCACTAGTGCCAGCTTTCAATTATGCGCATCATTTTGGCTGTTTTCAAGAAAAGATGTTCAACTGCGAACCTCAAGCTCCAAGAGACAAGCTTGTTTAACAAAGGAATGTCATGGGAGACAGGAGTGAGGCCTGGCACATATACAACTGCCTTTATAAACTAAACAGCCACAAGATGTTCTTTGGGAAATCAGCCCTCTCTCTAATGCTGGTAGACATATTGGGACCCCCTGGTGAGAAGACCTGCAACAGTGTCATGATGCTTTGCATGAGCGCACCAGAAGAATGAAGTATTCTGGAATCCTTTGGATTTGAGCAGCTCACCATCTGACTTCTTCTGTGTACTGAATTCCCCAGTCTTGAAGGACTGAGGGCAGACGCAATACTGGCTGCAGGCAGCGCTTAGCCAACCATGGAAATAAAGTGGTACCAGAAAAAAACAACACACACTTGACTGGCAGGTGTGGGACACTGTGGAACATGAGTGTACAATACTCAAGGCTCAGCAGAGACTTACTTGGGCAGCTCTTCTGCTATCTTCAGCAGCATGTGGTTTGGCAGCACATACCTGCAACAGAGAGTAACATTAATGTGACAGGTTAGGATCCTTTCAGCTCATATACACAATTTCTGCTTTGGAATGCAGAGGAAGAGAATAAGGGTGCCCCTCACTGAATATTGCTTTCGGTAACTGTTTTTAGCAATAGGGCCAGCACTTTTTGCCCCCAAAGAGAGGAACAGAATCTTACACTCATTCCAAACATTAACGCCTGCCTGTAACAAATGACTTCCTACCCTGTACTCTCGTCCTCTTGGCGTGATAGCTTGTCCCGCCAGGCATAAAGAAGCTTAAAGGCAGTTAGCTGCTGTGTGTTGAGATGCTTTTTCTGTCTCCTGTAGAGCTCAAGATAGGAGTCATCTGAGAAGATGGGTTTGATATATTTCTGTAGAGGAAGAAGTCAGACACAGGTGATCAACATTAGTGTGTCACATCTCTCTGGCGCTCTGCAGGCTGCATTCTCTCCATCAGTCACACACAAGTGGAAGAAGAGTGTCAGCTTTCCCACAATATCTCAGGGATTTAGGGCAGCTTGAAATGCACTCTAAATATTTGATGTCTGTTTCTTAACTTTACCTCCAGCTCCTCTCATCTTTGTGTTTTAATCTAAGTAAATCCAAGAGCATCGTAAAATACACAAGGCCTGTAGTGTTCCAAGGATGAGGACACACCACTTTCTGTTCTCACTGGACCTCATGCAGTGAGACAACACTCCAGCATCCAGACCTCATATTAGGACTAGCCAGAAGAATTAGAAATGGGGATAGGAATCATTTGGCTTGAGAAATATCCGCTGGTAAGTGTCAAGTGTCAACATCAGGGGTTTGGAAATAGGTTAAAGGGCTTTACATTAAGAAGACTTTATCTGGTGGTGACTAGTCATGAGCGTATATCTGCCAAAGTATTCTCAGATACCCACAGAGAAGAAGTGTTTTCTTCCAAAAGGATGGGAATGGGCTGGGCAAACCATAGGTCCTCTCTGCCCTGACCCAAACGGGAGCTGGTCCCCCAGGGAAGGTTACCTTCAAGCAGATGTCCCTGCTCCGCTGCCACACAACCTGGAGCTGTGTGGGCTTTCCGTTCCCTCTGTTCCACAGCTCCTCCCTCAGCTTGTCATAAATGTAGAGCAGGTAGTGAGTGTCATCCCGGGCATAATGCAGCATCTCCTCTGGCAAAGGGCTGCAAAAAGAGAATGCTCATTGCACAAATACATCTTGGAAGCTCTGCCACCCCAGCAACCCCCTGTGCCAGTGCTCATCAAGGCAAGCTGCTTCTCAGCCCACCCCAGGAACGAATGCAGGGTTTCTCACAATTCCTACCAGCAGAGTCCACTCAGGGGCAGCAACAGGACAATTTCCCACAAGCCCATCTCATGGCTGGGAAAACAAGATCCCCAGTATCATCATGGGGAATTAAGTACTACAGGTATCTCATGGAGTAGAGGCTCTGCTGAGCCTCTACCCCACCTGAGCTCTTTGTGGGCCTGTGGAGATGGATGGGACTGTAGGACTCACTTTGAAACCCAGGTCCTATCATTTGGTCACTGTGCTGAATGACAGCTTTTTTCTCTGGTGGATAGAAACTTGAAGTGGGGCCTCTGCTGGAACAGAACAGCCTCATTTCACAAGTCTGCTCATGGATTTTAACTCTGTTGTGAAGTCTCTACTATTTGTTCCTAGATCAGCACAGAGCTAACAAAAAGCCCCACTGAACTGTACGACTTGGAACTAGGCAAGGTAGTGTGTTAACAAACAAATGAGCCCCATACTCTACCCTTCACTCAACCCAATACATCAAGCACAAACTCTCACCGAATCCGCCAGTCAGCCAGCTGGTACCGCTTGTCAGCCTCCACGTTGCAGTAGAGCTTCAGCAAATGGTCTAGAGAATGCCGGCCAAGGTTGAGGAGACGGGCCGCCTGGTGCGTATCAAACACGTTCACCAAGTACAAGCCAAAGTCTCTCTGTAGCCATTCCATGTCCGAATCTGCGCCATGAAAGACCTGCAAGGCAAAACAGGAAGGCAAGGTAGGAAGATTACATGACAACCAACTCCATGCAGAGGCCTCACATCGGGATTGCTGGCATCTGAGTTTGCTGCGCATGTTTCTAAATGATTTCTTTGCTTGCCTTTCTCCATCTTATTGCCAGCAGAACCCTGAGGCCAAGTTTCACTCAGACAATGCTACCGCAACACCGTCTCTCTCATTGGGACACATGTAAACTAAATAAATTGAAACCAGCTACATTCCCCTCAAAACGCATGATAAAAACCAAGAAAGCTGAAACTGAAAAAGGAAATTAATCCTAAATGCTACTGCTCCTTTGCAGTTTATGCTTCTATGCATCCCACCGTGCCTATGTATTTATTTTGTCTGGCATGCAGGCTCTTTCTTTATGCATGAGAAACACTAAACAATGATATCCTGGTTCATTTGCAGCACAGTCTGAGGGATACAGAACTGCCTGGTAGGCACCCGATTCACTGCTGGGCTATTACTAACTAGCTAACATTTCTCCTTGTACCAGGGAGGTTAGATGTTGCTAGCATCTCACCATGGCCTGTGGAAAATAAAGGTTGAATCAGTATCCAGCAACTCTTACTAGCAATTTTAACGGGTATCGGATCAGGTCCAGAGCTGGCCATGGCAGAAGAGAGTATGTTCAAGCTACAGCTCAGTCCCTTTGACAAAACTCAGAGTATTTTGCAATGGGGCAACTGACCTTTACAATTGCGGGGTCTGTGAAGGGCTCGTTCAGAATATACAAGTCACTCCGAAGCTCCAGTGTGTCAATGATAAAATCCTCTGTCCGGGTGGAGATCTGCATCAGACATGTCAATCCCAAGAAGCTCCGATAGGAGTGGTGCTACCAGGAGACAGAAGAGGCCAGTTAGCTTAGTAAGGTAGCCAAGGAATCTTCTAAAAAGTCATTAGTGGTAAGCACATGTGTTCCTTTCCAATCACTACCACTGTTGTATTAATACAATCAGAAAAATGATTTAGGCTAAGCTGGTTCTTTATATGGTTCACAGCATAATTTAGAGGATCATAGGAAGAATCCAAGAGAGACCAAATTCAATATGCAAACTTTGCTGCAAAGTAATCAAGTCTGCAAAATTAGGGGGGGGGGGGGGGGTGTCAATCATAATCCCATTCAGCCTTCTGGTCACCAGCATTTAGTAGGGCTGGGACAATGACAAAAGAAGTTGATGGAAGGAATATATGTTATACAAGGCAATGAACTGAAAAGGACTGACAACCAGAAGGGTAGTACGACATGCCTTCCTAAGTGCTAGCTTAAACAGTTTAAAACTTACCTCCAAATCCACAGCAAACTCTTTGCAGTTGACAAGCTTTTCATTTAGTTCTACCAGCTCATCCAGTGTGGAGACAAAATGGCAAGGCGCATCCTCAAGAGGCCTGAACATCTAGCAAAACGAAAGGTTTGACATGGCAATTGCCTCCCACAAAATGCCTTGGAAACAGGATCCGTTGCACACAGATCACTTACTCTTGCTTTCAACATTTCCCTCTTTTAGGCTTTTACTGGTGTAACCTGGCCACTAACCTGGGGCTCTGGTTTCTCAAGAACTACATCTGGTGGAGAAAAATGCTCCAGTTCATACTGGTAGGGGTGAGCAAACCTTCAAAAAGCAGAAACAAGGAACAGGTGTCATTCCAATCAAATGCAGGGAGCTGAAGGGAGAAGGCAACAGTGACTCTTTGTAAGCAACTGCACTTTGCCTGTTACTGATCAGAAATCTTACCACTTGGTGGATTTGTTATGTGTAGGCATAAAATAATTATGAATGCATATGCAGAGAACAACTGATGACACATCAAATACCTACTCATGAAAGCACCCAGGCCAAAGGCGTGCATGTGATGCGTCTGCATAAAGATACATATAAAACGCACAAAGCCATAGGCTTTCCTAGCACCCTGCTGCATACGCAATTTCTTACATGTCTTGCTCAGTCTGCTGGGTCCTCTGCTGATGGAGGAAATCCGCCAGTGCAGCCGGCACATCCAAGTCCTCAGGACGCTCCTTTCGCTCCCGTCTGCTCTTGGCAAGTGCTGAATGACCGAGATCGAACAATCAGACATGTCAAACAAAGCTGAACAAGACATGCTGATCCCTAACCCCAGCTTCTCTGCGCAGCACCAGGAGCAGCACCATTAAGTACTGAGAACCAGAGGATGCAGGTTCTGTACCTTGCATGAGATTTCTCCTGTGCCTCCCAATTTAAAGTACTAGGTATGTCTAGGGTGCTACTTGAGCAAGATGAAGCAGCTGTAATGCAATGGGTGACCATTTTTTAAAGACAAATGAATCATATCTGACACAAGTGGCTCAAATAACCACTGTTGGGTTCTAGCTGCTGAATGCTACTCTGTAGTGAAAAACAGAATGACAAACTACAGGGATTACTACTACTCTAGTCTCCTCCTGCATGTCTATGTCTGCTAGGTTCAGGGAGTTCTCTCCTGGCTTGTCAGAGTAAGTTTCTGTTCGGTGTTCTTTATACACAACCCAAGACGAAGGCAGCCCTTTTCCCCTTGCTTTCCTACCTTCAGGCAGTGGTTTCAGAGCATTGGGTTTTACAAAAAGTTTAGGAATGAAGGGAGTGTTGGAATTGTCAATCTTCTCCCGAAACTTTAATTGTGGCCGAGTAATATTCTTGGCATGAAGCAGCCGGAAGGTTTCAGACTTCGTTCTCTTGGCTTCTGCACTCTGTTAAAAAAAATACACACACAAACATTTTAGTGGGTTTTTGAAAGGCCTGCTTTAGGATTCATACAATACCCACAGATGCATTATACTCCAGAAAGTAAGAAATGTTTCTGCAGTTGGGGCACAGCATCTAAGAGGCATATGTTATTCAAACCAGGGGTCCTGAATCTAGGTTAAGAAAAAACCTGTGTGTGTATGAAATTGAAGCCAGAACCCTTAGGATCCTGACTCTGGACTAAAGCCTGGGAAATAAAGAAACCATGAACCACAGTCAAAACATTTAAAAGACCTTGAACTCACTGAATCACTATCAGCAATGGCATTCGCAAATTAAAGCTAAATAAGTTTACCAAAACCAACCATCTTGTGGGTGCCTCACCTTGCGGTTCCAGCTGGAAACGATGGTCTCGGGGAGCTGCAGCCCCGCTGGCAGGACAGGCTGCTGATTTTTGTTCACTCCTGCTGCTTCATCCAGTAAAATACCCTGAAATCCAAGAAAAGGAGTTGAAAGGGAAGAATGTCACATGAAACCTGGCTGTACTTAGCAACCCGCAGTTACTGAGAAAAAAAAATTCAGCTGCCTCCATGCACATCTCCTTCAAAAGTGAAGGACTGAGTGGCTAAATGTTTGGATCAGTCCTAAGGGGGAGGATCAAAAGATGCAACTGCCAAAGTATCCAAGTGGGGTGTCTTCAGACATCCATATCCTGACCATTTTGTTCCCAACTCTCTGCTCTCCTTAGTGTTTCAACCTGGGATGGACCAGGAGGAAAACAAAATGCTAGGATATTCTCAGCAGAGCAGGACTGTAGCAAACAATCTCGGTCTTGGTGGAAAGTGAACGATGATAGAGGAAGCATGGTCTCATGGCTGGGTACTGGCCTGAAGGTCAGGCAATACCTAGAGGGCCCAATGAAATAAGGCTCCTATGTGCTGTACAGGCAAGTGGTTAGATACAGCCCCACCCCAGAGATCTTACACTCTTAACAGACAAGACAGAAAGAAAGAGAGGTGGTGCCACTTGCTCACAGTTGTACAGCAAGCCAGTGGCAGAGGCAGAAAAGTGTTGGGTTTAACTTCCAGTCCAAGGCTGCACTGTCACCCTTGCTTGGTGGTGTTCACAGTTGCTGTACTTTGGTGTTAGTGACTGCAGAATATAAAATTCTGGGAGGCTAAAGCCTCCAAAATACCATCTGCCATGATGTGGGGCTGAAAAACACTAATTAGATGACTGATTTAAGCAGGAGGCTGATTTTGAATGCAAACAGTGCCAAGGTCTCTGCTCTCTGTGGTATTTTAATTCGATCAGCTGTTAGCTTGATTTCTTCCTTATGGTTGGTGTAACAATTCCAAGTCCCTTCTGTGCCTAAAGTAATGAGCAATACAGCTGGTCTGGCACCCCGATGGGCAGGCTCTTCTCTGCCAGTCTCCAATACCACCACCTTGTCTGCCATGGAAAGTTCTGTCACCTTGGCATCTACTGCCAGCTTGGCCATTGATCTCTTCTGTGACCTTGGGCAAATCACTTTGTGTTTTTGTTTCCACTTCCCCTTCCAACCTGTGAATATTGGACTGAAAACTCTTCCAGTCAGGGACTTTCTTTTACCACATGCAAGTACAGCACCAACACAAAGAGGTCCCCGTGTCAGCTGGAGCCTTTAGGTGTTACCACAATACAAATACCCATTTTGCCCTTACTGTATAAGTTCCATCATGTAGCCATGATCTGAATGATAGAAACAGACATTTGAGTAAAACAGTCCTCTGTTGGGCTGGAGTGTTTTTTAACTAAAGATGCTGAAGGAATAATGCCAGGGCAAACAGCTAGTGACACTGTAAAAATGAAACAGGATTCAGATATCAGAGCGAGAGCGTGACTAAAATTTTTGTAGAAAGCCTCCCCGCTTTGACTGCTGAACAGGGACCAGACAAAGCCACAAGGCAGGTTTACTCACCACTCGTTCAAGAATTGCATCGTTGGAGTCGACCAACAAATCAAATTTGTCTTCCAGCTCTGTCACTTTGCTGCGATCCTTGATGTGACTGCGACAGCCGTGGTACTGCATCACTCTGCTCATGCTGACAAGAGATCAGTGCACTGAATGCTACTTGCTAGATCACATTAGCAGCAGTTATATAAAACCAGAACATTTACTAAGATTCCTCCCAAGCATTGGCTTCTCTGCAGTTTGCAATATCAGATATACTACCTTCAGACACCTGAAACCCGAACATAAAATGAATGTTTACTCCAAGCATTGCTTGGCTATTAACTGCAATTAATTTTCACTGAGTCTGAGGAACTCAAAGCAAGCCATCCGTTTATATTTTTGTTTCTACCCTCTCTGACAGTTCCTCATCCAAATCCTCACAGGGAAACGGTGATGTTGCCATTAAATTGTAATAAGCTGGAAAAACAGCTTAAATATTTTTTTAAGAAAGCAGTTAAAATACTTGCAATAAAATCCTCTCTCAAATTATTCTAGAGCTCCCAAAGAAAAAGATTCTCTGTCTTTGCATCTGGGTTTGAACCAACAGATCTCAGTGCTGGCACAAGTAAAACCCCTCACCAGTGAAGCAGCCTGTCTCCTTGCGTTTCACAGTAGGCTCGGAACCCAGGAAAGCTTCGGTAGAAGTCGTACTCGTCTCCCGGCTGAGGGAGCCCATTAGATGCCTTGGTAGCAGCCACCACTGTGCCGAGGGCATACTGTTAGAGACACAACATTAACATCATCCCACATTGTACTTCCTTTCTTCCAGGACACCGTCAGATGAGCACTCAGTGCTCCTATACTTTGCACTGCATTACAACTTGAAGCTGAAGCAGGACTTTCAATACAGAAACTTGTGACACCCTGGTTTCGTGTAATCAAAAAAGAACCCTAAAACTAGGGGAGACCATGGTGGAGCCAAAAGTCAAGTTTGGAATTAAACTGGCAAGAAATAAAAGCTCAAAAAAGAGCTTATGAAGTCAACACAACCATTTTCTTCTTTTAATGCAGGGCTTCTCGACCTTATTGGACTCGAGGCATCCCTCGATATACTGGAGAAACCCCTTGGACAATGCCAGCTCTTTGTGTTCACTCGTTTTCTGATCGCAGAAAAATAACAGACCGATTCTTCTGCTGCAGAGAACTCGGAAAGACCAGAACAAGTCAAATTATTTTTAACCACTAGATTCCTATTTGAAATCTTTGGGTTTAGCTTGTGAATCGTGTTTACAGGCCCAGGGGTTGATTGGGGCGGGTGGGATGTACTGGGTAGCTGCACTCTCCTTTGATTCCTGCTCCACCCAAAGTTTCAAACCAACCGCCTGCAGCGGCATTTCTACCAAGGCAGAGCTGAGGGAGTCGCTTGATTTCATGGCTCGTTCTCATCATCTACCTTCTCAACTCTTCCTTCCCCAGACGTTAACAACCCTTAACGGTCTTGATGTCCCACCAATCCACGCTGCTCTCTTAGCTGCCCCTGGTAACGAAGCTCCAGTTCACAGCCCTGCAGACTGTCTTGAATTCATTTCTGTGAAGTTATGTTTTATTTCGGTTCAGGCTGAAACTGAATAATCTGCCCCCTGTCACATGGATAAAGCTTCTAGTTTCTTTTTCCCTGTTGAAAAAGGTCTATACTGACAACATTTGACAGAAGCAGCACGTTGGCGGCTGTGCTTCCCCGGCATCACCTGCGGCAGGTTACAGCTAGGTCTGTCATGTCAGGGCTGGCAGCAGTCTTACAGTGTTAGATGACGGTTTGTATGGCATCATTTGCACGGGGATGAACCTGCCTCAGGCAGGGGGTGCGACTCAATGACCCCCCAAAAGTCCCTGCTCCTCCATGCGTCTATGAGGAGTGCGAGTTGTGTTGTACGCACGGCCCCATGTGCACCCCATACCCACTGCCTGGGTCCCCCGACCGCCTGGCAAGGACCCCGGGGCACTCGAGACGGGAAGGGAGGCTGTAACAGACACATCAGGGCCAGGCTGTCTCGATCTCCAGCAGGAGCGAGGCCGGTGCTGCCCGCGTGGGGGGGTCTGTGTTGCTCCGCCACGCGGCCCTGGAAAAAACTACACCGCCCAACATGCACCGCTGCGCGCGGGCCCGGCGGCCGCCGTACAGGAGGCACACGGCATGCTGGGAAGCGGAGCGTCGACGTGCCTCTCCAGGAAACTTAAGTGACGGGAGCCGCAGGAAGGGACTACGCCTCCCAGCATTCCCCGCGCCCGGGGCCCCATGCGCTGCACCCTGGGAAAGGGGGGGCTCGGGGCTGCTCGCTCACGTACCTTGGCGAAGGAGTCGGCGTCCCGGAAACCAGGCAGCACCGCATCCCCGCCGCCTTCCGGCGGCTCCGCGGCCTCCCCGGCTGCGCCGCCGCTGCTCTTGGTCGTCATCTTGCTCTTTTTCGCTGCGCTGCCGCTGCCTCCACCCCCAGCGGTAGCGGCCATCTTGGACATGGAGTCGTGCGGTGGTAGAGTGCTCTCGCGAGACCGGGGCCGCCATCCTGGCTGGCGCATGCGCATCCTGGGAGAGGAAGTCGCTGCTCTTGGTTCCTCCGGGCTTGCTAGGGCGAGGCGCACCAAGGGGCGGGGCTGAGCTCAGACCACGCCTCCCGCTCGTAGTTCCCGCGCTCCAGGGCGCAGCCTCCTGCGCTGCCCAGCGCCGGGGGAGGGGTTTGCAGCCCAGCGCAGGCCTGCTCAGCACAGCTCTCCCAGTCCGGCCTAGGAGCGCCTTCAGGGCTGCCTGCTCCCTGCAGTGCTCCAGCCCGTTGTTCCCGGGGTCTCAGAAAGCCCAGGATGAACGTGGTGCTGAGAACTGGGTGCAGGCTTCTCCCAGGACAATCGCTCTCCAATCTCATTTATAATCCTCAAAGGGGAGTTACAAAACACCTTTCCTAGATGAGCCAATGAACTTCGCTTCATCAATTACTGGATATAAAAAATCATGGACTAAACATAGACACTGGATTTATGGCATGTTACAACCTGCCTGCCATCCTATAAACCCAGGTAACCTCTCTGTATTTTACCAGCTACAACTTATCACCAGGTCAGCATCTTCCCCTTCCCCTCCTACCTGCCTCACTCTCATGGCCTCTGATCCTCACTGCCCAGCCTTTGCATTTTCACAGACCTGCATTTTACATATTGGTTTCTATTCCAGCCAGGAGACACCAGATTATGTCTGTCACCCTATGCCTGAAGGATGTTTGTGCCCAAAAGCTTGCAAAGCACATGTTTTCTGTTTAGTTGGTCTAATAAAAGATATCACTTCCCCCCCACCAAATGTCACTGCAGGATGAGTGTAGCTAGATGACAACAGCATCTTTTGAGACATCCAAGGTCACTCATCTTCCGAGCTCACGTTGCACGGTGTGGGCTCTATGCTTGTTCAAAGACTTGAGTCACCAGCTTCATCTTGCCAGCAGGTGGAGACAACCATTCAAATCTTAAGCAATGTCACTCCTGCCCCAGTTTGTCATGTTAGGATTATTCCAAAGCGGCAACGGCAGAGAGAAAAATGAATCTAAACGACCAGGAACTTGCCATTTGTGTTATCAAGCTGTCACGCTGGAATTATTTTAAACTGACATCAAATGGAGTACCCCCATATATTTCAAGAGCCTGTGTTATTTGCAAGGGGGTCAGACAAGGTGATTCTCACCAAACTATATCACTTTGATTTTGTGTCAGTAAAGAAAAAATTGCTACAGAGTCCAACACCTACACCTTTCGTTCCTTTGCAACCACATTCAACACAAAGATCACATGAGAGTTCTAGTTGTGTCCTGCAGAGACGATAATTTGTGTTTAGAGAAGAGGACCTAAAAATCACAACTAATGAAAGTCTACTAAAACACAGTCCATTCAGGGAAATAATTACAATCAACTGGATATACACCATAGTTTCATAGTTTCATAGTTTCAGGGTCGGAAGGGACCTAATAGATCTTCTAGCCCGACCCCCCGCCAGGGCGGGAGAACAACCCAAAAACACAAACAAAACCACTCACCCTAAAAACAAAAACGGGACTCAAATGAGTCCAGCCAGGTAAGTATCCAGCCTCTTCTTAAAGATCCCCAGGGTAGGGGCCAGCACCACCTCCCTTGGAAGTTGGTTCCAGCTCCTAGCCACCCTAACTGTGAAGTAGTTTTTTCTCCCCCAAACCCTTCTGGTTCCCCCTAGTGAGTTTATAGACGGTCACCAGGTCCCCCCTCAGCCTTCTCTTGTGGAGGCTGAATAGGTTCAAGTCCCGCAGTCTCTCACTGTAGGGTCTGCCCTGTTGTCCCCGGATCATGCGGGTGGCCCTCCTCTGGACCCTCTCCATGTTGTCCACATCCCTCCTGAAATGGGGCGCACAGAACTGGACACAATACTCCAGCTGCGGCCTGACCAGCGTCGCATAGAGGGGGAGGATCACCTCCCTGGCTCTACTCGAGATGCACCTGTGGATGCACGACAAGGTCCGGTTAGCCCTGCCAACCATGACCTCGCATTGTCGGCCCATGTTCATCTTGGAGTCAATAATGACACCAAGATCCCTTTCCGCCTCCGTGCTCTCAAGTAGGGAGCTCCCCATCTTATAAGTGTGCTGCTGGTTCCTTCTACCCAAGTGCAGCACCCTGCACTTGTCCGTATTGAAACGCATCCTGTTCCTGTCTGCCCACCCCTGTAACCTATCCAGATCCTTCTGCAATCTCTCTCTCCCTGCTAGCGTGCTCACCTCCCCCCAAATTTTGGTGTCATCAGCGAATTTAAACAGGTTGCTCTCCACCCCAACATCAAGATCGCTGATGAAGACATTGAACAGCGCAGGGCCCAGGACCGAGCCCTGAGGGACTCCACTACCCACCTCCCCCCAAGTCGAATATGATCCATCCACCACCACCCTCTGAGTGCGACCCTTCAGCCAATCTGCAATCCATCTGACCGTGTAGGCATCTATGCCACAGTCGCCTAGTTTACTAATTAGGATGGGGTGAGAGACGGTGTCAAAGGCCTTGCTGAAGTCCAGAAAGACTACATCCACCGCGACACCTGCATCCATGGCCTTTGTGACCTGATCATAAAAGGCAATCAGGTTGGTCTGACATGATCTCCCCCTAATAAATCCATGCTGATTGCCCCTGAGCATCATCTCGGATGCCGGCCCATCACAAATGTGCTCCTTGATGATCTTCTCAAAGAGAAGATTTCTAAACAGGTAAGCTTTGGTGCACATGACTGATGTCCCCGAGTCTTGACTATTTTGTCTCCACTACTTTCAAGAGCAAGCTAATTGCTAATTATGAGGACAAGCATACAAGAATCAAATACACAAGACACATTTTAGACGCACCTAATCCTCTATGAACAGTTTATGCCCCCAGGGTATTCTAGCACGATGCTTTCTTGCCTCACTTTTATACTTCCTAAGTAATCCTTTGGTACAAATAAAAACTCCGTCAAAACTGTTTTTGTAGATTTTGAGTGTAATTTATTGGCACAAAAATATTCAAATACAACATGGCATCTAAACATGGCTACACTTTGTATCTTGTGCATTTTAATATTTGTTTTATTCATAAATTGTTACTTTTTTTCACCCTTACATTTTTCTCCATTTCCAAGCATGACCAGTTCTTCTCCCTTACTGCTTTTTATGCCAAGCAGTCAGTTTTTCTTAATTACTTCCCAATACTGTTCTATTGTCTGCTAGTGTGGGAAACTCCCAAGTGGTCTTTTGATTCTACCCTGCTTTCCTTTTGCCACAGGTCAACCCTTCTTAAGACACTATGACTGGATCTACCCCTATTACTCAATCTAGAATGAAATATGCTTGTTGCGTTACCACTGGAGTCTCAGCCAAACTTTATCCCTCATTGATTTCTGGGTGGGAGCAGTTTCAGAACACACGAGATAATGCAAGGTACAGAGAAAATTCTGTCTCTTGCTCTCCAGCACCCCAACTTGTTCCCAAACCCTAACAAGCCCTCGTGCATGAGTACGAGTTCACTGCAGCTGCAGCCAAAAGATTGACCAGGGCAATAATTCATTTGCAAATTATTTTAGGTTAGTTACACTGTAAGTTAAGTTCAAACCCGTATTTCATTATTTTCAATGGATCCCCAATTCCCAAAGACCAAACAAACCATATATTTATGGTCTAGTTGAGTCTTCACCGTTCGGGAAACCCAAATCAAGTCTTCTGTTTTGGACAACTCATGTTCTTTAACAGCAGCTATAAATTGGTTTAAACCAACTTGTAATATACAATAACTCTTTTCATTTACATTTCAAAATATTTGATAAAAGCTGGATTTCAGTCCAAGCTTTTCAGCTTGTAGAAGAATACATTTGGAGTGCAAAAGCCTCCAATAAAGGCTGTGGATACTTTAGAATCTTCTGTTACCAGAAAGGACACCTAAAGGAGACAACAGAAGTGATTTAAGAAGGGTGGTCTTCCCTACAGCTTCATAAAAGCAAAGACAAATGTTGAGAAGCACTGATTATACTGTCCAGAAGCCTTTCTGTAATCAAGGAAAAGCCCAGTATGATCCTAATGCTCATTCCCCATCATGAGACTAAAGGTCTAACATCCTTGAACACAACCAAAAGCGAAGGAACAACTAAGAGGATGGAAGCATACAGGTTTCATATTGACTACAAAGTGCACAATTTTCCAACCATACTCAGCAACTGGTATCTGCAGGATCGGAACATCTAATTTCACAAGTCTAAAACCTTCAATCTGATTGCGACTTAAATGTCCTTAATCGCTCTTCCATCTCTAACAGATTGCTTTCTTATAGGACAGGGCTTAAGGTATCCTTGCAAAACAGTCACAAAAAAGTTTGCTAAACTAGGCACAATATCTACTTGGCCATCTTCACACAATGGCCAATAAGACTAACGATATTTAACTTCCTTAATCCCCATTCAACATCCCCACAACAAGCATTTGTTCTGGAGAACAGAGGGGATTTTTTTTTGCCAGGCTGGCATAACAACAAACTCACCATCCAATGTAGCACTGGCAGAGATTCTCATGGGAAGTAGCTTGTTTAATGAGCAGCTCTACTTGTGTGGCTACATCCAGAGTTTCATCATGAGAGAAGTCTCGACCTTTAAAATTAAAGGGAAACACATAAGAGAGAGACTGCATGGCAAATTACCTCGCTTGACTTTTGGGTGGTAGGTAGAGCAGCAATGTGAAGGTGAATTTTCTCTCCTCCTCTGATAATATTTATGGTGCAGAACTGTTTAAAGATGCAGAAAACTCAAAAGCCACAGTAAAATCTCTGGGGACACCAGTGTTTTCCACAATGCAGCAGCTGCTTCCACTCTCTACCCATTTTCCTCCTAATAGCAGGCAAAAGTAACTGTTTACCAAGTGGCTCAGCAAAAATCCCTAGTAGAAGGAAGCTTTCTCCCACTCGGTTGGGTGCGTCTTAAAGAATCTCAATTTTGCAAGCTGCACAACTAGTAGAGAAGAACCCACTGCTGAAAGTTATTTTCAGAGTCACCACCCAAAAGTGTCTAATCTCATCTAGTTTAG